AGGAATATTTTTTGCTTCTTTACCTTTTAGCTAACTTATTCTTTGGGATTGCATTGGCTGAATTTATCCCCTTTTATGTATAGAATAATACTGGTTGAATAATGTTCCATACCAAATCTTTCTAAAATTCTTTCAATATATGCTTTCTGAGATAATCCTAAAAGTTCATGTGATCTATTATGAAATATTTCTATTACTATCACGTAGAATGCCTCATCCATATCTTTCATTTCAAAGTTCTTAGAGATAACTTTTAGTTTCATATAATAAATTAAGATCTCTACTAGCAAATAAAATGTCATCAATATATAGAATCAGAAATATAAACTTACTCCCACTAACCTTCTAGTATATACACTGATTAACAGTATTTTCCTTAAAACCAGAAGAAATAATGGTATCATTAAACTTAATATACCATTGTTAGAGTTTAAATCTATATATTGACATCTTAAGTTTATAGATCATGAATTCTATACCCTTTAATGTGAAGCCTTCAGGTTGTTCCATATGGACTTTTTCTTATAAACTCCCATTTATAAAAGTTGCATTCACATTCATTTAATGTAACTCTAAATCATAATAAGTTATTAATGCCATGGTATTTTAAAAGATTCCTTCTTAGATATTGGAGATAAGGTTTCTTTATAATATCTTCATTCATGGCACTAATTCATTTAGTAAAATCATTACTGTTAATGGCTTGTGAATATGTAACCGGATCCGTATATATCTCACTATATATCAAAATTAAATTCTTGCAATCTGTATCACATAGTCATCCGGAATATCAGATCTCCTTTCTCTTTGAGATCGTCTTAATGTTATTCCTTATGATTTTTCTACAATCTATTCATTGGTGATAATCTCATTATAGAGTTGTTGATTATTCAATTGTTCTTCGTTGTTATACGGTTTAACAACTGAAGGAACGATTATTTCCTTAGAAGTTATGGGTAAAGAGATTTGTATCCCAACTTCTGGAATGATCAAATTCTTATTTTTATCACTCCCACTGATTTCACCATTCTTAATGAATTTGTCATTACTGGTTTCAATAATTATCGTACTATGTTTAGGATAGTAAAACTTGTACCCTTTATATTACTTAATATCCACAACATTATGGGTAACGAGGAATTACTTAACATACTCCTAACCAATTCTATAAGAGTACGATTATGCCTTACAGCTACACGCTTCTGCTATGGCATGCACGCTTCTGCTGTGGCATGTATAGCAAAGTGTATTGAGCACAAATGCTATATATTTCAAGAAGTTTAACAAACGGTTAGAGTATTAACCCGTTTCATCATACTTTTCATAATATTCACCACCTCTATATGACCTTATGATTTTCATTTTTCTATCTAATTCTTTTTCAACCTCATTTATGTATACTTCAAGAGTACCCACTGCTTGAGATTTTTCATACAACAAATATATATATCCATGATGTGAAAAATCAACTATAAAGGCGATAAAATGTTTTTCTTCTCCAAAAGATGGAACATCAAAAGGTCTACAAATGTCTGTATGAATAATTTCAAGAAGCTATTTACTTATTGTGGCTCATTTCTTTGTGTGTTTGGTTTGTTTACCCTTAATACAATCCACACACACATCAAAATCAGTAAAGTTTAGATTCGGAAGAATCACATCCTTTACTAATTTTCTTAACATTTCACTAGATATTGACCTAGTCTTTTATGCCACAAAAAGGATAAATTTTCTATTAATTGAGCTATGCTTAATTCTAACATTATGATGCAAGATCAAAAGGTTTTTTAATAAATAAACTATCAAGTTTGAAATTACAAAAATCATCAACAATAATACCATAACTCACAAATTAGAATTTCTTGAATAAACATCATTATCAAATTTAAATTAAAAACCATTAACAAAAGGTTTTGAAATAAAATCAAATTATAGGAAATTGAATAAATATAAAAAGTTTAAATTAATTTAAATAAAATCCACTACAATGTCACAATGATTTCAACAAAAATTTTTCCCAATTATCATAAATAAGAAATTCTTATTTGAATTTGTGGTTTAGGCCATAAGAAATTCTTGCATCTATTAGAAACATAAACATTAGTACTTAAGTCAACCTATCATGTATTAGAAAGAATTTCAATAAGTAATTCGAAATATACAAAAGCCAAAAGCTTACCATTCTTTTTTGAATCATTCTTTATATTTCATGTAATTTTTCTAAAAGTGTTCAATACATTAATGACACTTTTTCATTATTACATTCCTTTCTTTTAGTAGATTGACCTAAATCTTTTAATTTTGGGTATTGCTCACTTAATGCCTTTTTTAGGGTTAGACCCAAAATTTATTTATAATTTCTTGAATTATCAGATGAACATAATGATTACCTTACTACTTAAGTCTTGTCTCCTCCTAAATTAACATAATGGCCAATTAAATCACTTTTCACTTGTCTTAATAATGTTAATTCTCTAAATGACCCATACTGAATAGACAAAAAATTGAGAATAAATTGAATAAGAAAATTCTCATTCACAATCATCCATAAGTTTCTCAATTTTGCAGAAACATTAGTCATCTAAAAAAAAAAAAAAAAAAAAACATACCCATACATGGTAAGAGTACCAACAAAATTGCATAGTTGTGATATAAATTAATAATTTTTATTTTAGATATTTATCTACAATACGAAAACATTCTTCTAGTCAAAATATTCCTTAGCACTATCACTATGGAAACAATTATTTACATAACTATAATGCTTAATCTGTTCGATCTCTCCCAAACTTTATGGAGAATCTTTTCTCCCTCACTGTCTTTATCAGTAATAATAGTAGATTTCTCAATTTAAAATGCTAAATCAAGATTTACACATCTAAATTTTGAACTCAACTTACTCATTCCATTATGAGAAATTAGTTCTATTGAGAATCAGAACAGATGTAGCATGCACATTAAAAGTAATAAAACAAATATAATAAGACAAAATGCTCACAACAATAATACTTTGAGTTAACAACACATTTATATAACTTACAAATATAAATACAATGTATAACTATAGTACCCCTTTGGGTGGCAACTATAAAATACTAATAATGATGCTTATTTGTATTTATATGTTACCTTCATTGGTGATGTATTAGTTAATTAAATAGATAAGTTACCTTTAGATATCCTATATCTACCTAATTAAAAAATACATGCAATCCTTTAATTTTCATTTAATCACTTGAAAATCAATTCTATTTGGAGAATTATTTCTCATAATTAAATAAACTCAATATTCATGAATATCACAAAAAATAATAAGCATCATAATTCATGAAATATTGCAATTATGTTTACTAATAAAATTGATATTCATCAACCATTATGATTAGGCCACTTTGGTAGCTACCAACCTTTACATAATATGAATATTAAATTAGATAGTAACTAATTTATGATTAATTATGTCTACTACAAAAATTAATATTCATCAATCATTATGATTGGGTCACTTTAGTAGCTACCAATCTTCACATAATATGAATATAAATTAGACAGAGATTAATTTATCATTAAGTTATATTTACCACTAAAATTAATATTCATCGACCATTATGGTTAGGTCACTTCGGTAGCTACTAACCCTCACATAATATGAATATTAAATTAGCTAGTAACTAATTAATCATTAATTTACCCATTTAACATTATACACTCATACTCATAATTGTCGATTGAAGTTTAAGCTACTTCGATCTCAAAAACTGAATAGTCCGAAATTTCATAGAAAATATATATTTATTTTATATACATAATAAAATATATTATTTTATTTTCAGACTTAAAGATTATAATTGAATCAATCCAAAATTAATTCTCCATCATGTATGTATGTTTGGGTATAAAACAATAATTCATTATGTCTAACAAAAATTTAATTAAATTTCTAGACTCACATATCATTCTAGAAATTTTAAATAAATACACATACTTGATGTATTTAATATTTTATTAATATTATTATTTTTTAAATAATAATAAAATTAGAATATTCATATTTAATCACATGTATGACAAAGTCCATTAACCAAGCAAATCTTTAATGGACATTCATATAATAATTGTCACCTGTTCATGGATAATGAATATATATATATATATATATCAATTATATATACATATGTACTCATCTATAGTAACTCGTGTGAAAGTAAGTTAACTTTCACAAAATTCATTACGCTCGAAAATAGAGATAAAAAGTCAAAATTCTTTGCTGCAAAAAAACATTACTAATTCTTTCCGGGTCGTCACATGCATCAGGAACATATCTATAACAACAATTAAAACATACATATGTGTGGAGGCGATTCCAAACAAATAAACTATACAAATTATATTTTAAATTTATACATATTATTTATGCAACTTTAAAGGAAAAAAACGAGTTCCTAAACCATAAACTCTGATACCACATATAAACTTTAATAATTCATGTTAAGTCATTAATCACAAATTTACATGAATTCCATATCTTAGAACTTCATGATTTTCACATATCTATAATGTATAAATATATGGTTAGATATAAATACCTTGATTCATGGTATCAAACCTTATTGAGATTAAATTCAACATCTAGATCCTTTAATCACGAACTAATCTGCAACTCTGATCAACAGGCAAAGGTGGAAACTGGTTTATCTCTCTTGGCCTTTTGTACACATAAAACTTTTACGTGTTCTATCATTAATCGTACATAATTGATGGAGTATATGCACTCTTATAAAGACAGAGAGAGTACTAGTTTTCCTTTTATTAACATAATTCTACTTTCCATCAAAATAAGGAATAAGAAAGGAAAACACTTCTCCAATAAGTAATTACCAAAAAGGTAATTATAAGTTGACCAAAAATAAATAATATTAATTGATATTTATTTACTTAGCCACCAAGTAATATGTCACATGTCCAAATCATGTGGGCCACAATTAAATAAATAATCTTACATGAGCAACTTAATAAGTTTGGAATTTTTGGATCTATCTGGTAACAATCTGTCCGGAGACATTCCCAAGTCCTTAGAAAAACTCAGATATCTTCAATATTTGAATGTGTCCTTCAATAGATTGCAAGGAGAAATTCCTACAGGAGGTTGTTTCAATAACTTTACAGCTCAGTCATTTATGTATAATGATGTACTCTGTGGTGTATCTAGACTACAAGTCCCGCTTTGCAAAACCAACGCGCTCCAACGATCAAAGTCAAAAATTGTGCCTATATTGAAATACATTTTACCCACTATAGTAGCATCAACAATCCTTGTGCTGGCCCTTCTATATGTGTTGATAAGGCGCGAGAAAGATAATTCCAGATTACTTAACCAAGTTGATTCAATGCCTCTTGCATGGAGAAGGATTTCATACCATCAGCTTCTGCAAACAAGAAATTCATTTAATGAAACGAACCTACTTGGTAAGGGGAGTTTTGGTTCTATTTATGGTGGAACACTTTCAGATGGGACAAATATTGCAGTAAAGGTTTTTAATTTGCAATCAGAAGCAGTATTCAGGAGTTTTGATGTCGAATGTGAGGTAATGCGTAATATTCACCATCGAAACCTTACTCAATCATCCACAGCTGCACGAACATGGATTTCAAAGCCTTGGTACTCGAGTACATGCCTAATAGGAGCCTTGAGAAGTGGTTATATTCTCACAACTATTGTTTGGATATCCTACAACGGTTAAACATAATGATAGATGTGGCATCAGCCTTGGAATATCTACATCATGGTCTTTCAACTCCCATTCTTCACACTATGATTTGAAGCCTAGCAATGTCCTGCTCGATGAAAATATGATTGCGCATATTGCTGATTTCGGTATTGCCAAACTCTTGGGTGATGGGGATTTTATGGCACAAACCAGGACTTTGGCAACAATTGGTTATATGGCACCAGGTAAAGTTATTTTCAATTCATGTTCAAGTTTTCTTATTAATTTTTAAAATTTTGTAGTTGTCCTTTTTACTGTTAGAATTTAGCTTCATTCTATGGTTTTATACTAAATGTTAATGTCAAGCACAGAGTATGGGACTGAAGGAATAGTATCTACAAAAGGCAATGTCTACAATTATGGTATCATGTTGATGGAAGTATTCACAAGGAAAAAACCAACAGATGACATGTTTGCTGGAGAGATGAGCTTGAAGCATTGGGTGAAGGAAGCATTAGATGATTCTCCATTCACAGTTTTGGACGCCAATTTGATAGGAAGAGAGGACAAACATTACCTTGTGAAGGAGCAATGTATATCATCAGTCTTGAGTTTGGCCACGGATTGTTCAAATGATTCACCTGAGAAAAGGATCAACATGAATGATGCCTTGATTGTACTTAAGAAAATTAAAACCACATTTGTAGCAAACAGTGGATACGCTTGAAAGGTAAATTTGTTGAAAATAACAGATATCAAGTTTAGTAGTATTTTTCTACACTACACTTGCCTTTTTACGAAAGCAATGTCTGTTTTTCTTAAGCAAGTTCTACTTCTTTCCACTTAAAACTTTCTTTCCTTTTTTTTACTGTATTCCACTTCTAAGTTGGAGATGAAGCATGTAATGGGAGAATGCTGGCCAAAAGATCGTCTGTTAAACGTTTTACCTTTCAAAACACACACTACTACTTATTTGTATTTTTTCTTTCTTCTCTCTCTACTAGTCTCGAAAGCTTGACCAATGACTTGAGAGTTAAGGCCCAAACATGAAATCTTATTTGTACGGACACCATCAGGCAAAGATATATATTCAATTAAGAATGGCAATGCAGAGAATATATGTTTAGCACAATATTTAGGATGGCTTACCAATGTGTTCCGCTCCTAAAGCTATAATATCATCGTCATCAAGATAAATTGAAGTTAAATCAATAAATATTCAAACCAGAATCCAATATAATTGGTTCTGTAGATGAAAATAACTATCAGAGAATTACCACTTGCAAATTGCAACATCCATATTCATGCACCCGAAAAAGTTGAGTAGCATAGTGAAACCTCCGTTAAAAAAACAATTTATTGATACAAGATCGTAATAAGACAAGCAGCTAAAGTTCCTTTGTCTTCTGTTTAAGGAACAAGTACATTGTAAGGGCCAGGGCATTAGCTAGACAGTAAAGGAGGAAAAAAAACATAATACAGAGTAATAAAAGAAGCAATGAAAGAAGGAAAATTTGCAAACACAAAAGCTTCATAAATGGCCAATTGGAATAGAATTACCTGGTAGTCGCCCTCCTAGGAAAAACCAAACCTTTAGCAATTATCCCCCCTTGAACTCGTGCGACTTGGAACGAGCAATGGCCTCATGCAGCTGTAACCAAAAGAAGAAGAGACCCAAAATAAAAGATGGCATAAGAAGGTGCATAACATAACACTGATGCTATGGAGACTTTGAATTTGGAATTAGAGAAAATTTTGTATAAATTTTGAACTAAACCCAAGGCATCAATGCAGGGCTACCAAACATAACATGAATGTCTTTTGTATCTAGTAAGTATGAAACTACCCACTAATTACAAATTGCTCGTCATACTTCACCTGCAGAGTATATATTAGGGTCACAAATTACTGATAAAGCACAGCCCTATTAAAACACTATTTGCGGCATTGATTCAATCCAGGCTCTCAAGGACAACGGGAGCAACCCAACCACGGGGCTACGAAGGTGTTCGCCTGTAACATGCATATTGGGTGTCCAAAACAGGGTTATACTTGTTACCACAAACAACGAGAATTTATAGCTTCTCACTACAGTTTCCGTTGTATGTGAATGGTAAACCAGGATCAAAATTGTATATATTGCCAGGGAAAAAAATAAAAATAAAAATAAAAATAAGATCAAAATCATAAGCAATTTCAACAATTTTGACTTACCAAGACATCAAATGGCTTTCCAACTTTTGAATTTTCAGTTTCATTTGTTGCAAAATTGTCCACCAATGGCAAAAGGATCTCAATCACTTCCCAGAATTTATCGCTGCTTTTAAAGCTCAAACTTTCTGGACAAATTTTTTTATACTCTTTTACTCATCTTCTTCAAATTTCTTCGATTCCCTCTTCTCTAATCAAACCCTAACTTATTTATTTATTTATTTATTTATTTTTTTTTTTTATCACTTCCTCAAAATTTCTTCTTGTTGTGTATCCATTTTTTATCCTTAATGGAACTTAAACCCCACAAAGAAATATCACTAACCTATAACTGTGGATGTTATTTTCCTCAAAAATAATTACTGAAATTTATTTTATTATATATATATATTGCAAATAATGATAGTTGTTTGAATTTTTTTATTATTGCACTGTTATGCACTGCACTTCTACTTTTGATTTGTTGCACTGTTAGAGCCTGTTTGGAATTGCTTTTTCACCATCTAAAAGTGTTTTTAATTTTAAAAATTACTTTTAAATGTGTTTGGTAACCATTAAAAGCGTTTTTAATGATTATCAAATTAAGTTAAGAGTAGAGATTCATCCTATTAAAGGATATTATTATAAAATCAGTAATAAAAAATGTTTAAACATGTATTGTTATTAAATAAATTAAAAAAATAATTTAATTGTGAAAAGTAATTATTATAATATATATCACCAAACACCAAATATATTTTTTAATGACCGCAATTTTTTTACAGCTCTAGTGATAAAAGCATTTTGAACGAGCTCTAAGTTGTCACGTTAATTGAAGAAAAAAAAATTATTTTAATTATATTCTATTTGCTATCTGGAACAAATTCATGGTTCCACTTCCAGCACTGAATTCAACAAAGATGGCAACTTGGTTCCAAAAAAAAAAAAAAAACATTCCATCGATTCAAACGGTCTCAAAAATCTTGTGTGCCAATAAAAAAAACAAAGCATATATATATATATATATATATATTTGCAGCATTAGAAATTATTCACTTCTTTGACAAATTGAAGCGATTTGGTATTGTTGGACTTATCACAAAATCCATTAGATGACACACTCCAAATTTCAGACGGGAATTTGTCTGCTTCTCTTTGGATGTTTGAAGCATTTGAATGCAAAATGAAGGGAAACCATCTGAAGACACCAAAAATGATCCGGGCTTGGTATGATTTGTACTGCTAAGAACGGGTCAGGTATGGATAGCCAGGATGGAGCAAGTCCGCACTGAATGGGCCTAGATCCAAGAGGTCATTACAGAAGCCCATGTTATGATGAAAGAAATTGAGCCCAAACAAAAGAGAAGAAGTTAGGTCTAGCCTAGGAGTGGTTATAACCGTCCAAGTGGTTGTAACCGTCTATAAATAGAGGGAATTGAGAGGGAAAAGGGGTTGAAAGATTATTGGGAGGGTAAAGTTTTTCTCTCTATAATTGGAGAAAATTCTTTGTACTTTCAATGGGCGCCGTCTGTGGGAAGAATAGAGAGGAGTGATTGGTGTTGGTCCAGATTGATTCGATTCAAAGCATTTTGCGAAGAAGACGATTAATCTCTGAAAGCTGAATCAAGGTTGATGGAAATGCGATCTGTCTTGATGAATCTTGGTTCCAGTTGATTTCGAAAGGTTGGCATCCGATCTACGCAGATCTAATCTGTGCTTGATTCGGCGAGCTGCGCAGTTGTGATTTGTTGAGATTGCAGAATCCGGCCAGTAACAAACAGAATTCAACAAGTTTGAGTCCAGATCTGGTGCGTGTGCGTTAGCAGAGCTCCGGTCTGATCAAGAAATCTGTGATTAATGACTTTGCTCCGATCAGGAATGATAATCGGAGAGGAGAGCTCAAATCCTTTGGAAAATGGCCAACAGACGAAGCTTGATGAGTTAATGAACATGATTGAAGCCTTGAGGAAGGAAAATGCAGAGTTGCGCGCTGGAATGGATCGTCGTGAGGCTCCTACAATTCCGAGGCCACCTCCGGAAGGAGAAGGAGTCTTACCGTCCCATGCTATTCGTCAAGGTGATCCAGAAGGTGTCAATCGTGTCAATCCACGTCGTGATGAAATTATAGTAGACGATCTACCTCCAAATGTTTGTCAAATAGAGGATCGAGAAGGATCTATTCATTTGGAGCTACATCGTGAACGGATCATGAGAGAGGAAACGCCGACGTGCGATCATAGGGTTCCGTCACGATTTTTAAGGGCAGATCGTTTGATCCACCCTATCGACCTTCTATGGCAATATTTGACTACCGCAGTTCAGAAAGAAGATATGCCGATCGGGGAGTTCCGTCACGGTTTTTAAGGGAGAATGAAGCATTGCGCTCATCAGCAAAGACAGTTGCATCTTCGATCACTGATGAAATCCTGAACGCGCCGAATTCGAAGAAGTTTTCCATGCCGATCTTCATTCTATTTAATGGAACAACCGACCCAATCGACCACATCTACCACATTCAGTTGAAAATGGCTCTGAATACTAACAATGATCCTTTGATGTGCAAATGCTTCCCTACAAGCTTGGCTGGACCAGCCCTCAATTGGTTCAAGAATCTGGCTCAGGGCTCAATCGCTAGTTTCCAGTGACAAGTTCATAAGCCAGTACTATGGGAATAAATGTCCGGTTAAGGATGTATCAAGCCTTTTCATAATGAGGTAGCACGAGGATGAACGACTCCAAGCTTTCCTCACCCGGTTCAACCTTGTTAAAAGCATGGTAATGGAATGTTATCCATCCACAGCGGTCCAAACATTTAAACTTGCAATGAACCGGGGGACACCGTTCCACACAAGCCTGGTGGTCAATACGCCGAAGACCATGGACAAGCTGAACGAGAGAACTGACGGTTTTATTCTTCTTGAAGAAGAAGAAGCAGCTAATTCAAGGAAGATGTCAATTATTTCGACAGAAGAGAAGTCCAAAGCCAAGATCCGGCAAAAACAAGCTCAGCCACAACGTCGGACCTCCTGGAAGGCAGAGAAATGGTTTAGGGAGGAGAAGTTGATTACTCCACTCAGAGTCACCTTGGCAAGGCTGTATCAAGATAACAAAGATAAGTTTCACCCTCCCTTACCAATTAGACAACCTTTTGAACAGAGGGATCAAACTAAACATTGTGCTTTCCATAGTGATTTTGGACATCAGACTAACTAATGCAGGAACCTAAGGAGACAAGTGGAGATGCTGATCACAAAGGGGGAATTTGTAGGATATGTTCAAGGTCTGGCGCAAGAGCAAAACCGACCGGCTGAACAGATCAAGAGAAATCAGAGGCCGAACCACTACAGCACTCAGCTCGTTCGAATTATAAATGCAATTCATGGCTGACCTGAACAGACAACAAAGTCAGAGGAGTTACTCAGAACGTGATTACACTAGGCCCATTTGAAGAGAAAGATTGGCAGCGTACATACTTTGCACCAGCAGAACGCATCAGCACAAATAAAGTTTGACAGAACAGACCTGTTACGCATTTAGGTTCCTCATGAAGATCCACTAGTCGTCAATCTAACAGTTGCAGAATGCCTAGTACGAAGAGTTCTGATTAATCCAGGAAGCAGTGCAAACGTCATGCCCAGAGTGACGTTCGACCGACTTGAGATCGAACCCGAGAAACTTAAACCCACGGGAAATCCATTGCTAGGATTTGATGGGAAGCGGGTGGAACCCATTGGAATGGTGGAATTGACAATACAAGCTATTGAGAGAGTTTTGACTAAGAGCTTTGTGGTCGTGGAAATTCATCCATCCTATAACCTCTTGATGGGAAAAGGGTGGATTCACAGAGTTCAGGGTGTCCCATTAACCCTACATCAAATGATGCGATGCTTGGGTCCAGATAGGACCAACGTGATTGACATTCATGGGACCAGGTTACAACTAAAGAATGTTATTCAGTGACTTTGAAATCTGCTGGAAAAGGAAAAAATCCCATCCGTTCTGCCAGTCCAAGATAGCAATTACAAAAACCTCCACCCAGCAAAAGTGGGGAGGAGGAGCCGCCAGTTCAGAACGCAGAACCTCTTCTTGATGTGCAGATCGACCATAAAAAGCTAGACCGAACAACGAGGGTGGGATCCAGACTTACTGAAGAGGAAAAACTAGGATTAATTGACTTCTTGACTCGGAATATGGATGTATTCACATGGAGCCATTCAGATATGCCAGGGATCAGTCATTCTTTGTCCTGTCATTCCTTTAATGTAGATCCAAGCGCAAAACCTGTAAAGCAGAAGCAGAGAAGATTTGCTCTAGGACGCAATCAAATCATAGCTGAGGAGATTGATCGGTTGCTTGAGGCAGGATTCATTAGAGAGGTTCAGTACCCGGCCTGGCTCTCCAATGTCGTTGTTGTGCAGAAAAAGAATGGGAAATGGAAAGTATGTATTCACTTCACTAATCTAAACAAAGCTTTCCCAAATAATAGTTTCCTATTGCCACGGATTGATCAAATGGTGGATACCACCACTAGGTACGAGCGACTAACCTTCCTAGATGTTTATTCCGGTTATAATCAAATCCCTATGGACCCAATTGATGAAGGGAAAACCTCTTTTGTTACTAAACGAGGGACCTATTGCAATAAAGTCATGCCGTTCGGATTAAAGAATGCTGGAGCTACTTATCAGAGGCTGATCAGTAAGATTTTCAAAAGCCAAATGGGGAGAACTATAGAGGCTTACATTGATGATATGGTGGTCAAGAGTAAGAAGAAGGATGGTCGTTTAGAGCACTTACAGGACGTGTTCGATGTGTTGAGGAAGTACGAAATGAAGCTTAATCCGACCAAATGCTCATTCGGCGTGAGCTCTGGTCAATTTCTGGGACATGTGGTCAATCATAAAGGAATTGAGGCTAGCCCAGCCCAAGTGGAAGCTCTGATCAGAAATGCAGAGCCAAAGACAATTAAGGAAGTGCAGGCACTCATAGGTCGAATAGCTGCGCTGAGCCGATTCAGTTCTAAGCTCTCAGACCGGTGTAAACCATTTTTTGACACAATTCGAAGCCATGGGAGGCAAGCCTGGGGGGATGAACAAAGATAGGCATTGACCAACCTAAAAGATTACATGCAAAACACTCCGGTTCTATCTGCTCCCGAGCCAAATGAGAAGCTCTTTATGTACCTTGGGGTATCCAGCATCGCTACAAGTGCCGTTCTAATCCGTTGCAAAGAGGGAAAACAATTCCCAGTTTTTTATGCCAGTAAAACAATGGCCGAGCCGGAAAGAAGGTACTTAAAGGCTGAATGGGTGATCTTGTCACTGGTCAACGCAAAAAGGAAGCTCAAGCATTATTTTGAATCCCATCCGATTGTCGTCTTAACTACTTTTCCTATAAGGATGATCTTGCACAAACCAGACCTGTCAGGAAGAATGACAAAATGGGCCATTGAGTTGAGCTCATTTGATATTACATATGAACCCAAAACGGCAATCAAAGGTCAAGCGGTGGCTAACTTCCTACTTGAATGTGATGTTGAAAACTTGGAGGAAGATTATAGTTGTTCCTTATGGAAACTCTTTGTAGATGGCTCTTCAAATCAAATGGGGGCAGGAATTGGAATCAAATTACAAACACCAGAGGGCACCACGCTGAGCCAAGTGATCAGACTTGAGTTCAACACAACCAACAATGAGGCTGAATACGAGGCATTATTAGCTGGGTTGAAGTTAGCTAAAGAGCTGAAGATCAAGAACCTAATTGCTTATAACGACTCACAGCTAATCGTTCGACAGGTAACTGGAGAATACGGAACCAAAGATAAGATTATAGAAGCATACCGAACTGCGATTCTGCGTAAGGCGAAAGATTTCGATCAGATCAAGTTCATTCAGTTATCGAGGGAGTGTAATGAAGATACTAATCGTTTGGCCTGTAGTGCATCCAATTCTGGAGAAACATTGGCTGGGGTCATCCCAGTTGACGTGTTGATCCAGCCATCCATTTTTAATGAACAGCCCAATCCGAGTGTTCAGCAAGTTAATGTTATACCATACGAGCCAAGCTGGATTGATCTAATCATAGCTTTCGTACGTGATGGTGTGCTACCCGAACAGAAAGATGAAGCAAGAAAAATCAGGTCCAACGCCGCGAAATATGCTATTGTACGTGATCAGTTGTACAGGTGGTCCTTCTCAGGTCTATACTTGAAGTGTGTTAACCCAACAGAGGCTAGACAGATCATACGAACCATTCATGAAGGTGTATGCGGAAATTATTCAGGGGGAAGATCTTTGGTACACAAAGTAATGACACAAGGGTACTTTTGGCCAAACATGGCACGAGATGTAAAAGAATTCTCTAGAAGATGTGACAAATGCCAAAGGTTCGGACCATTGATACACCAACCATCTAAAGACTTGCACGTAATGGCCACGCTATGGCCTTTCGCGCAGTGGGGGATGGACGTGGTTGGCCCTCTGCCGACCGCAAGAACGCAGAACAAGTATATTCTGCTAGTAATTGATTACTTCACCAAATGGGTAGAGGCAGAGCCGTACCCTAGTGTCACCCAAACTCAAGTAAGAAGCTTCATCTGGAATAATATTATCTGTCATTTTGGCATACCAAGGTCGATTGTTATGGACAATGGAACCAATCTTGATAGCAAGAAAGTGAAGGAGCTACGGTAAGAATATGGAATTAATCAGAAGTTGGCAGCAGTTAGTCATCCCCAGGCTAATGGTCAAGCTGAGATCACGGACAGGACAATATTTGCCTATATCAAGAAGAAGCTCAAAAATGAAAAAGGAAAATGGTTAGATGAGCTTCCAAACGTCTTGTGGGCTTACAGAACGACCCTAAGATGGCAGACTCGGGAGAGCCCATTCGCTATGGCGTACGGCACCGAGGCAGTGATACCAATCGAAGACTTAGTTCCAACCGTTAGAAGCTTGGCGTGGAATCAAGAGCATAATGATAGAATGCTAAGGTTTAATCTCGATCTGCTAGAGGAGAAAAGGGATGCAGCTACAGTAAGGCTTGTTTTTTATCAACAGATGCTCATAAATAGCCATAACAAGAGGGTGAAGCACAGAGATTTTGCCCTTGGCGATCTGGTTCTTAAAAGGAACGTGGGGATAGTCAAGAAAATGTTTTTGCCATGGGAAGGTCCATACAGAATTGCAAAAGTCATAGGAAAGGGGGCATACGTCCTGGAGACCATGGCAAGAAGGTTGGTCAGTAAACCATGGAATGCCACATCTCTGAAAAGGTACTACCAGTAGAAGTAGAGCTAAATTCCAAACAATATGGTCATTTTGAATTGCATACTTGTAAGTGTATGAAATTTTCAAGTTTTATGAAAGATGTTTGCTTTGCTTAAAAATTAATTGACATTCTTCCTACTTAGCAAAGTCGAAATAATGCCAAGTGGCAAGTGGCATTCTAGCCGAGCGCCAGGCACTTAGCAAAGTTAGTGGCAACTGGCACTGCGAGCCGCACGCCAAACACTTGCACAAAACAAGGCCAAGTGACAAGTGGCATTCTAGCCGAGTGCCAGACACTTAGCAAAGTTAGTGGCAACGGCACTACGAGCCGAACGCCAAACACTATCAGTGGCAATTGGCACTATGAGTCGAACGCCAAACACTTGCACAAAATAAGGCCAAGTGGCAAGTGGTATTCTAGCCGAGCGCTAGGCACTTAGCAAAGTCAGTGGCAACTGGCACTACCGGCCGAACGCCAAACTCTTGCACAAAACAAAGCCAAGTGGCAAGTGGCATTCTAGCTATGTGCCAGGCACTTAGCAAAGTCAGTGGTAACTGGCACTACGAGCCGAACGCCAAACACTTGCATAAAACAAAGCCCAGTGGCAAGTGGCATTCAAGCAGAACGCCAGGCACTTAACAAAGTTAGTGGCAGCTGGCATTACAAGTAGAATGCCAAACACTTGCTCAAAAATGAATCAATGCTGAGTGGCAGGTGGCATTCAAGCTGAACACTAGACACTTAACAAATGTCAGTGGCAGTTGGCGCTACAAGCCGAATGCCAAACACTTATGAAAAATGAAGTTTAAAGGATTGAAAATTAAAAACTTGAAGAATGGAAGTTTTGCTGAAAATAAGTGTTATCATTTCCTATTCTTTCATTGCAAAATAATCCTGAGGTACATGGCTTGATGTTCTGAGGATACATGAAGATACATTCTAAAAAAAAAAAAAAAAAAACTAATGCAAAAGATTACAGAATGCTAGTTCTCACAGTCTTCTCCAGGCTGTGACTCATTGTTCTCTCCATCATTACCCTCTGGCCCATTGTGGTCTTTTTCATTCTCAGCTGCACCATCATCCTTAGAGGAAGAATCAAGGTGAATCACCCCCTCAGCCAGCATGAGTTTGTCAGAGGCAACTAAAGTGGAGGGCATGATAGTAGTAATTAGAGGAATGTTTAGAGGATGGAAGGATGGAACAACAATCCTGAGGCTGCAACCTCTCTGCACTAGATAAAGATATTCTCAGCGGGGTCACAGGGTGGATTCTGGTAGTTACTTGGTAGGTGGATATCCAAAGAGGCGTCCAACTCATCCGAACCAGCACAAGAACTGGATTTGCCTTCAGGGGGAGAACGGTCAATAAAGCCGTCTCTATACCCTTCAGCATACTGGAGGGCACTGGTTCTAGTGAAGCGGGCAAGGAGATCTCTCATACCCCCCTCCCCCAACTTTGCCAATCATATTCAGCAAAGAAGAATGTTCACTCAAGAGCTTTTCTTTTGAGTTAGCATGAGACAACCGGTCAGCAATAAGTAAACGCTGAAGGTATCCCTTCTCAGCCTCCAGTGAATATCTTTCAATCAGTGCAACGTTCTTCTCAGTCTTCAGAACATCAACTTCATCCTAAAGAGAGTCCCGTTCAGCCTTAAGGGTCTCCCGTTCAGCTCTCAGGGTGTCCCTCTCATTTGCGAGATCATTTTTCTCTATTTTTAAGGCGGCAGCCTCTTTCTCTGATTCACTCAGCTTAGACTCAAGCTCAGCAACTTTGGCCTCAAGATGGTTTTCCACTTCAACAGATCTTTAAGGCCTGCAGAGAGAGATTTGAGCTTCTTGTTCAGAATCTCAATGGTCTTCTAAAAGGTAAACATCCCGAATAGAGTCTACATAGAGGTAGGGAGGTTCTGGTCAGTTTAACCACTAAAAGGTTAAAGTAGAGAAGAGACATATCTCAATAAGAAGAAAAGTTACCTCCATGGCAGCTGCTGGGAACCACCGAAACATCTCACCAATGGACAACTTGTTCTGAATTTCAAGATCCTTAGGAGTTTAGAAACCCTTATAGAAAGCAAAGGAAGTGAAGGGGTCCTGGTACATAGAATCTGTAGGGCCAATGGTCGAGCCATCTTCACGGCTGAGCAAAGGTCGCCATGGAAGAACGGACAATGTTGGACTAGAGGTTCTGGCAGATTCACCCTCTGGAATGAAAAACCGAGCTGGGGGCATGGGTTCAGTAATCCTGAAAGAAGCCACCCTGGTCCTCTGGGCTGGTGGGACGTCACTCTGGTCATGACCGCCCTCAGGCATTGGCCTCTTTCCTAAACTTTTCTCTGGCATACCAGCACTAACTGGCCCTCCATTGTTCAGAGAACCCCCAGTATCCTGAGTGCTCTCTGAAGAAGTGTCAGACAGAATGTTTGAATGCACATTGATGGGAGCAGCAGGATGGGCTTCAGCAGAATGATCCACAGCAAGGTTCTCAGCATGGGTGGGCTCAGAAGGCCCAACAATAGAACGATCTGTGACTTGAGTCATAACTGGAGCAGTCACAACCTGTTCTGGGGCTTAGACAGCAGAGGTGGATGATGTGGTAGCAGGTGTGATACCCTCGAATTTCTGAATACGGGTTGGCCAGGCCCACGCCCGACTACCCGAGGATATCAAACCAATTAGTAATAAATGAACACAGAATACAATTAGGATAAACAGGAATTAATAAAATTTGTTGAAAAGAAACTAGAACGATAATCCAAACACTGAAACCTCAGAATAAATTTTATAAATAAAGAATTATTCTGATACATCCAACTTCTCCATTTTTAATACAACTCGGGAATCCATCTGATGGACCCCTAATAAACTCCAACACTGGAAAAATAACAACTGAAGAACTCCAATGCTAAACCATGAAGAAAACTTCTATATCGTCGGAAGAATGAGTAACCGTCTTTGCTCAGCACGAACAAACTCTAAAACCTGGAACCGTCTATTACCTGAAAAATAATAGTGGGTCAGGCCCACGAACAAGTTCTTATCTAACTGCAATTCATACAGAGACCCGATACGCAGATACACCCTAGATACCTCACAATACCTATTTAGTCCATAAGTATATATATATCCACACTAAGGACATTCACTGGACTACAATAGGGGTCTTAACCTGAATAGAAGGCATCATGCGAAAACGCACCCAAAGGTGGGCATGAGTACCTAGACCTAACAAGGTACACCTCAACCTACTATAGCCAGCTACGCATCCACTGCATATACGCACCCTAACCAACGATCCTGAGACTCAAGCTCATATCGCGGTACCATAACTTATATATATAAATTACCATCCAAACTAATGTAGTGCCGCTCAACTGTTCGTTGCCATGACACGACATAAAATTAGGGTTTGAATCTTTTAATTAAATCCCTATCCTTCTTATTAACAGAAAATGTAAACAACCATCCAATATGTCGTTCAACTGTTTTAGTTGACATGACATGAAACCATGTACGATTTAACTGTTTTAGTTAATCCATTCCGTATGTATGAATGGGTTGGAATTAGCGTTTTGATTTAATCCGTCCCTCCGTATGTTACCGTCCTATACCGGTACATACCATGCATATGATCTATAAAAAATGCAACATTTGAAGCAGTACATAAAACAGTATCCACATAATCCAAGTAGTTGATAAATGCAGAATTTAAACCGTTCATCAACATCCAATCCAGAATCCATTCACGTAACTTAACGAAACTAAGTTTAATAGTTCATCAAATTAAAGTCCAGCATCTATCCAATTAATTGACAGAGAATACATAATTAATTCTTCAATTAATTCCAGGCCATCACCCAATTAGATTGACAAAGCCCAAGAATCAGTTTAACAATTTAGGTCTAATTCAATAACCCAAGTATTTGCATAATAGTGCTTAACATTACTGCAGTTACAATCCCAGCTTAAATCCATGTATTGCAAAACAGAATTAGCATTTCAGCAGTTAACATCCAAGGTATGCCTAGAGCAAACTTGATAACTAACTAACCCTAACATGTAACCAAAAATAAGATTTATAAACATACTAGATCCCACTGGATTGCCAAAATTAAACTTAGGCAATTTAAGTTTTCTTCCATCCATTAGCCGTATAAAAAAAAAAATGCATAAATTTTTATACGGTTTGTTCCGTTAATTTAGGGGTAAACCTTGATCAATTAAAGTCCTATTAACACCTAAAATTAGCTTTTTAATCATTCTGTGTAGTCCTAGAATTTTTCTAGAATAGTTCAGTTCCACTCGTCCTTTAACAGTATGTTAAATTGTATAGTTTTATGCTGTCCATCCTTTAGTGTAGAGACATAAATTTTGCAACAAGAGGCTTTAACCACACTTGAAATTAGTATTAAGAACCCCAGTATGCTCACCACACAGTCCAGACCAAATTAAAAACATCCAACATCACCTAAAACTTCAGAAAATCAATCCTCGTGAGAGACTTCTCTAAGGCTCCAAAAACAAATGGAGAAGGCTCTAAAACAAAAGAGCAGGCTCTAAAATAGAAGGAGAAGGCTCTAAAGCAAAAGGAGAAGGCTCTAAAAAATAAAAGAGAAGGCTCCAAGAATTCCTGGAGCCATCTCTAAGAGGGAAAAGCCGTGTGCCGCGTCTATGAATTCTACGACCTTCTTCCTCGACTCCGGCTGCTTCCAACCCTTTTTGTTTATTTTAAACCTGAACCTAGATGTCCCAAGTATGTCCAGTATCATCCAGATTCGTTATTCATATCAAATTGCATTACTAAAATCCTTTAACACTTACAGATTATAACATGCTTATGAAAACTACTACTGTAACCAAACCTTCAGAAATCATCACAGAACTAATTCAAGACAAAGATATGATTAATTTGACATATAAAAACATACACAATTCAGTTATTGATCCATTAAAACCCTAGAGCATACCTAGGTACACAGAACATGAGCTAAAGGGAAAGAGGAAGAAAAGAACTTGCCTAT